AAAAGACATGAAGCTATGCCAAAGATCTTTCTTCTATGTTTAACACCTACTGAGGTACAAGAGATCACCACCTCTTAGACATTGGTGCTCTAAAGATGCTTTAAGCCATAAAACACTTTGAATTTTGCACATTCATGTATAAAATATCACGTGTTTTTCTTGTAGTGGTGTTGTTTATTGCACCACCGATTTTCACTCCCACCCCAAGAGTTACAAACTTCACAAATGTCATCCTCCGGCGTATCATCAAACAGAGGTGGAACCAAAAAACTTAGTCTAGGGGATAGACACATTTTTTTGGAAAATCAAAATAAAGATGACCCTAAAGTTTGTGTATTCCATTGAATGATACCATGCAAGAGGATTTTCCAAACCTTTTGAGCGTTGATCACCCTTCCAACTGCCCCTTTGGATCCATCATTAGTCATTAGAACTAAATTATTGATGCAAATCAGCTTCCGTACAACCCATTAATCTTCTCATACGAAAATGCTAAAAACTTATGGGTGGGTGTGCGCATGAAAGAACTTGAAAAATCAGTATATTTCCTCTCACATTCAATCTACACTTATTGATACATTTATAGAATGACATAAATATAAAGATGAGTACAAAGCTTGGAAGGTTGGATTTTATTCTATCACAACTTTGGAGAATCACAGAGAGGTAGGATCAATGGAGTTGGTTGATCCTCATCCTTATCTTTAATCTTTATCTCTAATACGCCCTTGCAAGTGAAGTGTGCCAAGAACTAAACGAAGGAATTGGAAACGTGGTGTAGGAAGCGATTTAGTAAAGATATCAGCTACTTGGTCCTTGATTGACAAAAAATTGACTTGGCGATTGCCCTTTGCCACATTATCACAAATGAAGTGAAATGCTATTTCAATATGCTTCACGCGATTATTGAAGATTAGATTAATGGTTAGGAAAGTGGCACCGACATTGTCATACCATAAGGCGGAGGAGTGTAGGCTGTGGAACATGAAGTTCTTGAAGTAAAGATTATAACAAAAAAATTTCAACAATAGCGTTGGAGAGAGCCCGATATTCTGCTTCGGTGATAGAGAGCGACGACGGATTGTATGCAAGCAGACCAAGAGACAACACTTGGACCAAAGAAGATGGCATAACCAATTGTAGATTATTTTACAACTGTCCAGTGGGCATTGGTTGGTTTGTGCATGTATTGGCAAACTTTATTAACAGAGTAAGAAAGATCCGGCCGCGTGATGGTGATGTGTTGAAGGGTGCTAAAAAGGCTGCGATATTGGGTTCCATCAGAAAATTGATCATTGCCATGGAGATGAAGCTTGGTAGTGGGCGAGAATGGATTGGAAATGTGATTGTGCCCCGTTCATGTGAGCTCATTTGAGGAGATCAACAATATATTGGATTTGATTGAGAAGAAGCCTATTTGAAGTGTGGATAACCTCAATGACCAAGAAAAAATGTAGAGGACCTAAGTATTCGATGACAAATTCTTTTCCAAGTTTGTGAATGAAAGATCGGATGTACATGGGGAGCTTCCTGTGATAATGAAGTCATCCACGTAAATTAGCAAATACAAGGTCGAGCAAGATGTAACTCTAATAAATAGTGACGAATCTATTTTAGATGCGATGAAACCTTGAACAATGAGAAAAGTGCTCAAGCAGCCGATCCAAGCACGGGATACTTGCTTGAGACCATAAAGGGACTTCCGCAAGCGACACATATGTTTGGGATATTGACAGTTGATGAATCTAGGAGGTTGTTTCATATAGACAACTTCATCAAGAGTGCCATAAAGAAATGCATTTTGAATGTTGAGCTGGCGAATAGACCAATCACGACTAGTGGCCAAACTTAAGATAGCGCGGATGGTCACCGGTTTAATGACGGGGCTAAAGGTGTTGGTGTAGTCATTACCCATGTGTTGATTGAAGCCTTTGGCGATGAGGTGTGCTTTATAGCGTTCGATTATGCCATCAGCCTTGCGTTTGAAGTGAAATATCCATTTGCAGCCCACAATGTTGGCATTCGGTGGGGGAGACTGTAGTGTCCAGGTTCCATTCTAAATCAAGGCATTAAGCACCGTTGCCATAGCTGCTCGCCAAAGCAGATCACGGGTAGCCGTGGTGACGTAAGTGGGATTATTGTCTAAGTCAACAGAGTGACATAACACTGTGGAAGGGTGCTTGGTGGCAATATTTAGCACTTTGGGACGTCGGGTACCAACATAGGAGCAAGTTACCATTGGGTGAGTGGGAACAGATGTGGCAGGAATTGTGGCTAGAATAGGTGCGACTGGGACAATGGTTGGAACAGGCGGATGGAGAGATGGGGCAGATTAGAAGGTTGCATTGTTGTGGTGTCTGGCGGGGCAGCATGCAGGGGCGATGTTGCCTTGGGCTGAGAGGGACTGATTGTAGCAGAAGTGGTTTGATGCGGGCGAACCAAAGGCAAAGGAGACCGCAAAACAGTTGAGGATGGTGGTGGGTGAGATCGGCTAGATAGAGAAGCTACAAAAGGGAACGTAGATTCATCAAAAATCACATTAGGAGCTATATATATATTTTTGTCGCAGCTGGTTGAGGCACTGATATCCATGACGTTGAAGACTATATATGAGAAAAACACACCGAGTAGAGCGATAATCAAACTTGTGTTCGGGATAGGGCCAAAGACAAGGATATCAAGCACATCCAAAGGCCTTGAAAAAATTGTAATCAGGTGTTTTGTTAAACACTTTCTCCATAAAGGGACAGGCACCACAAACCGGGTGGGATTTAGTGGAGCCAAAAAGAATGCCAATTGTTGTCAAGATGTTTTGAACCGTGCGAAGTGTCGGATGCCCTATGCATTGGCGCAATCGATCAGTTGCATCATAAAACAAGATGACTTTATTTGAAATATTAGGAAGCTGAAGTTGGTAGAGGCCATTAGAGCTCGGGCCGCGAAGTAGAACCTTCCCTGTGTGGATGTCCTTAACACAAATAAAATGGGTGAAACTCAAACCAACAATTATTATCGTGGGAAGATTTGTGCATGGAGAGAAGATTGTCTTTGACACGGGGAACATGGAGAATATTTTTTAAAAGAAAGGACGAGGTTGGAGTCCTAAATGAAGAAGAGCCTGTGTGGTGAATTTCAAACTTGCCCCCATTACCAATATGGATGGTGGCATTGCTAGTGTAGTCAGAGAACAAATCTAGATCAGAGAAATCAGAGGTGAGGTGATGGGTAGCTCCAGAATCAGGATATCAGATGTCCGAGGCCGCATTATGTGCGTGAGATGCAACATGCAGATCAATGTATTGAAAAGCCTCATTGAATTGATTGTGGCATTGGAGTACAACATGGCCAACAGGGTTGCAGACCTGACAAACAGGTTTGGCAGAGAGATTGCAATTACTGGGAGCAGAACTAGAATTATTGTTACTGTGAGAATTGCGATTAAGGCCGCGACCACCACTAGATCTAGAAAATTGGCCATTGTGGGAACCACTGTTGTTGTGTTGTCCAAAGCCACGATCACCATGGCAACTACAATTACCACGATACTGTTGTGAGTGCTTAAAGTCTTGAGCAGTAGAAAAAAAGGTGTTACGGTGAGACAAATGGGCTACTAAAGCAATGTCGGAAGTGACGATATCATAGGCAATACGAAATTCATCAGAAAGAAGATGACACAATAAATCAGTGAGAGACAGAATCTGCACGTGTCGCGGCCTTAAACCGAATGATCAGCCACGGCAAGTTGATGAGCAATTTTCTTTGCCTTATAAAAATATTTGTGAATGGAATCCAGGCCCTTTTTGTGGCCTGTAGTTGCATACGAAGCTAGAGGATCCATGCTCGTGAATGAGCCACATAAGAGGCGATAAGTGCTGTCCAAACAACATGAGAGGTAAGGAGGCCAATGACCTGGGCATGACATCCTCGGTTAAGGAAGACAGGAGCCAGCCAAGTAGAAGTTGATCTTGGCATTGCCAAGTGACAAAATCAGGATTGATCATCATAGTAGAACCAGTCTGGATTTGTTCTGGTGGAGAAAGGATAGAGCCATCAACATAGCTGAGCACTTGGTGACCACGAAGATGCGACATGATTTGAGATATCCAAAAAAGGTAGTTAGTTTCATCAAGTTTTGTGGTGAGGGTGGTGGTATGAGCAGCATCAGAGGAAAAATAAGGAAGGCAGGGGTAGTTTGAGGAAGTGTTGGTTTGGGTGTTAGTGGAGGAAGCTGACATGATTAAGAAAACAGAGTTACGAAAAAGAATTGCTTTTTAACAAAGTCAAGAACTTTGCTCTGATACCATGAAAGTACTTGAAAATCTGTATATTTCCTCTCACATTTTTTTTTTCCAATTTTTTTTTTTGGGGGGGAGGGGAGGGGAATGGGGACTTGAACCTTGACCTTAAGAAGACAAAGTCTTTATAAGATAAGGAGTACTATTGGACCAAAGGGCCATTCAATCTACACTTACTGATACATTTATAAAATGACAGAAATATGAAGATGAGCACAAAGCTTGGAAAGTTGGATGAGATGGGATGGAGTTGGTTAATCCTCATCCTTGTCTTTAATCTTTATCTCTAATAGCGCACAACCCTCATGAATCTAACTTTTCAAATAGGAGAGGTTTAAAACATAACTAAGTTTACAATCGAAATTCATTTTATACAAGATGAATCATTTTCTAATGCAATTTCCATAAGATAGACTTCTATGTTGAATAGAATGTAAAACATTGTTTTTCTACTAATATCTGTTAAGGTTGGTTTCTTTAAGAGAATTGTGAGACGTAACAAGATCTTTGGGAAAATAAATTCATGGAGATGAATAAAAGATAGTACGAACAATCAAATTTACTAATTGGGCAAGATGAAAAAAGCAATAAGTGGCTCATCTTTATTCATCAAAATAACATAGTTCTAACTTAGGAAGCAATCTCAGAATTATAACATTCTCAAGGCACACAAGCACATAGAATTTCATTAAAAGTAGTAAGGCATTATTGGCGGGTACCAAGAAGATCATCCTCATTCAACTTTCCAAGAGGACAGAGGTGGAGTGTTTGCAAATCTCCAGTGAGAGCCATGTGTGGAGATGAATACCTATCACCCTTTACTGCATCAACTATAGCAATAGATTCAAGCTCAGCCATTTCATCAGGTGCTAGTTTTACAGATAAAGCTCCAACATTCTGGTTGAAATTTCCAAACTTGGTGGTGCCGGGTATGGGAGAAACATCGTCCCCTTGTTGATGGACCCAGGCCAATGCTAGCTGTGATACAGTGCATCCTTTCCTTGTTGCTATTGCATTAATTTGCTCCTACAACTTTTTGTTATGCTCGACATTCTCTGGTTGGAACCTTGGCATAGTCTACAAAAAATGGTAAGACAATTCAGCATAAAACTACAGTGGTGACTCATTGTTTCAATGAATCATTTTTTAAGGCAGAAAAAGAAACTTTGTATAGGAAACCATAAAGAGACGACCACAAAGATCAATGCCCCTATGATGTTAATTAACCACAAAATAATGTTGAAGAGAGGATTTTGTCAGATCTATTTACCTTTCTGAAGTCATTTTCAGGCAATTTCTCAACCATCTGTGGACCTGAAGTGAAGAAACCCTTTCCTAAAGGACTAAATGGAACGATCCCAATGGCAAGTTCTCTGAAAAGTTATAAGACTAATGAATTTAGCAATTTGAAATGCTCATCACTTCCTAAACATAATAGTTAGCATTTAGCACAAGCAAAATGTCTCACCTGCAAGTGGGAATGACCTCTTCCTTTGCATCTCCAGTTCATAAGGATCATTCAAGTTGTATAGCTGTTATTGGATGAACAGCATGCGCCCTTCTGATTGTATCAGGTGAAGCTTTAGATAGATCGATATATTTTATTTTACCCTCTTCAAATAATTTCTTGAGTGCTCCCATCTGGTAAAAACTTGGCATAAAAGAGACTAAGCAAAGTGAATACCAAAAAAAAAAAGAAACTAAGCAAAGTGGGACATGAGCTTTTTTCGAAAAGATCAAGGAAAATAATGGAATTGTTATTTAGATTCCTCAAATAAATACGTAAAGATGAATTGAACTTGTCAACTAGTGATAAAAATAAGGAAAAATTTCAATCACACTCTTCTAGTTTATCATATTTTCAAGAACACCCTCTCTATTTTCTAAATTTTCATTAACACGCCTTATCAAGTTAAAAATATTAATTAGAATACAATTTTACTAAATTGTCCATAATATATTTGAGGACAAACTTCATCCACAACTCTTTTATATAAGCTTATCTTCAATGAGACCAAATTGCATATAAATTTGGTCAAGAGTTATCTAAATTATTTTTTGACCCATATTTAAGTATCACGTAATAAATTTATAATAAAACATTATTAACAATGTGGACGCTATCTGTTTGAGGGACTACATATAAATATATTTAATACTTCATGAATTAAAATAATACAATTGAAATATTAGAGACCAAAATGAGATAAACCCCATACTTTAAGACCCCCCAATACAATTAACCCAAATTTCTACTTTCCCACTCATTTAAAATGTCTACATTTGAGCTTAGGAATCTCTTCTTGTAAATTATGGGTCAAATTACGGCACCCAAGAATAAGTAATGGTTTTGCTTTTAGGGGTGTCAAACGTGTTGGGTTAAACGATTGACGGGTAGAAAATATATAAACCCGCACACGACACATTAATAAACAGGTAAAAAATCTCAACACGAATACAACCCGTTTAATAAACGGGTAACACGACACGACTCGTTTAACCTGTTTAATTTAAAAAATATATATTAACAATTTTAATACTCCATTTTTTTATTGTCAATTGCACTTACCTCAAAAAAAAAAAATTTTAGTCAAATTTCATAAAAATAAGACTTGAAGGTTTAAAAAAAAAAAAGCAAGAGGTCATTGTTTTTATAAGCAACTCAACCCTCCCATCTCCCCTCATTTTCTAGTGTGGGACAAAAACAAAAGACACTGGTTTGCCTTTGTATTTGAGGTACTCCTCATCTCCTCTCTTTTATCTTTGAACTACTATTTTAATTTTTTTTTATTGATTTCTTTACTTTTTTTTCTTGCTAATTTTTAAAATAATTATTAATTTATTATTATATTAATTTTATTTAAACGGACAAACGTGTGATAAACAGTTTAATAAATCTCACTCAAACACGACCCGTTTATTAAACGTGTTTAATGTGTCAACCTGTTTATCACCCAAACCCGTTAATATCTCACTCAAACCCGCTTAATTCATGTCGATTCGTGTCTGTTAATCGTGTCGTGTCAAATTTTGACACCCTACTTGCTTACCTCTGAGTTTTTTTTGCACTTCTTGGAAAGTTCCCATGATTGTCAGAGCCAATGACAAACCAAGATGCCCTTTAATACTTTGTTTTCTCTAATTTTCTTTTTGACAAAAAAATGCTTATCATTAATGTATGAGTAAGGTACCCATTTAAATATAATAGATCTCACTTAAATTCACAGTGTAGTTGTGTTTTCTATTAATGAAGAATCTATTGGTTGAGTTGTTTTATATTAAAAGTCGTGCAAAGAATATGATGTTTTTGAGTGGATTAGACTTGACTCTCACAACCTCTCAATCACAGTCCTCTATCTCAATTTCGACACAAGATAGAGGAAACGAGAAAATATTAAGTGCTTGGCAGCTATCAGTTGGCATCGTTAAATAGTACACATTATATACAAAATATTGTACATTCACATATAAAATATTATAAATTGTCAAAAAAATGTACACATAAAATCAGGGGGAAGTCAAGTTTTTTTCTTTAGGGTGGACATTTAACTTACATCCTCTGATTTTTTTTTCTTAACCAATCATAATAAAATAATACATTTATTTTTACCATATCATATTTGATACATGAATTTCATTCATAATAAAGGGGTTAAAAATAAGTGTATATTTTGTGTGTGTGTGTGTGTATAAAGATGACTAATCATCACTATTGTAAAAATGTGAGGTTAGTTATTATTGTGTAACTAAAAAGCTATCTAATCAATTATTAACCGATCATCCATTAAATTTAATGAATAGTAAAGACACTTAAACAAGAATCTAAAAACTAAACATAATAAAAAATTTAAACACCGTTGACACATAATAAACATTACAATCAATTGTCAGACAAAAATAGAAACAAGTTATTGCAAAAAAATAAAAGTCTTGAAGGTTAATTGCAAGTATTTTCTCTTTTGAATTAAAAAAATAAAAATAAAAATTATAATTATAAATATCAAGGTCACTTGTAGAAAGCTTTTATACAATAAAAAACAATTGAATTGATAAGAAAGTCATAGGTTGCACAAGTAAAAAATATTTAATTAAAGACACTATCCAAGGCATGTGGTCACTTCTGGGTTTTTTTATTTTTTGGTTTGCCGGCCACTTTTTGTATAGCTCAACTAATTTGTTGTTTGGCATACTCAAAAGTAGGTCATTCACATTGTGATTAAGATATTCATAAATGATAAATTTTTTATCATTTGATCCAAAAAATAATTAAAATTTAAATTCAGAACGTCTAAATTAACAGTTTGTCCCTATTACTATTTCAGTTATCCCTTAAAATTGAGATAACCATAATTTTTTTTGAAAGTAACTGCAATTGGATCATTGCATATAAAAGTGACTGCAATTAGAGCAGCAAGGAAACCCATTACAACCCCGCATTGTATATGAAAGTCTACAATTACACAATGCAATGGGACTCACTGTAAATCTGTATTGCATATGAAAGTGACTGCAATTAGAACTGCAATGGAATCCATTACAAGTCCGCATTGCATATGAAAGTGACTGCAATTAGAACTGCAATGAAACCCATTACAAGTCCGCATTGCATATGAAAGTGACTGCAATTAGAACTGCAATGAAACCCATTACAAGTCCGCATTGCATATGAAAGTCTGCAATTAGAACTGCAATGGGACTCACTGTAAATCCGCATTGCATATGAAAGTGATTGCAATTAGAACTACAATGGAACCCATTACAAGTCCGCATTGCATATGAAAGTCTACAATTCTGCAATGCAATGGGACCCACTGTAAATCCGCATTGCATATGAAAGTGATTGCAATTAGACCTGCAATGGAACCCATTACAAGTCCGCATTGCATATAAAAGTCTACAATTCCGCAATGCAATAGGACCCATTGTAAATCTGCATTGCATATGAAATAATGCGACACGTATATATTTGTAGGGCAATGTTGGGCGAATAAACCATGCACACATGCATCATCCATACGTAGTCATGTACTTTTGTACTCCTATATAGGGGGGAGGGGGGCATAAAATTGCAACAATCTCATCTACTTTCTCCATTTCTCATATGTACTCAATGTGATTTGTTTTCCTGTTGGAACTCAAATTTTTTGTGTCTTCTACAGGGAGTGGTATTTATTAATGGCCGAAACAGGAAGAACAACCTTCTTTCACTGGGGGTAGACAAACTTTTTAGGACAATTCAATGCTGCCTCTATTGATATGAGATTCAAATTGTCGAAAGAACAACGTACTACTTCTCTTTCACGCCATGCAATTCTCATATTTATTGTTCTGGTGATCATCAACCTCCAGCAGTTGAAGTGTCAAGGAAAAAACAAAACTCCATTCGAAACCTACCCCAAAACCTTGGGGGTTGCCATTACTAGTTTGCTCTTATATTGCATCTTGTCCGAAGCAGAACTGAGATTTTCTTCTCCAATCTATGCCACAGGTTATGACATTGTTTGGTTTTTGTCATTGACATCTCTAGCATCAACTTTGTTCCCAGACTCTGTTATGCGGTTCTCTATATAGTGTTTATCATGCTTTCAGCAAGTGAATTGCTACGATGGTTTTGCTAGACAGTAATGGGGGAACCTGGAGAATCAGGCTTTCATGGTAGACCCATTGTACGCCACTTCATTGATTCACATCGGCACAGGGCACATGCTTTTACGAGTGAGAGGAACATACTTCCAGTGTAACTGGAAGCAAATTAAGGCATCTGTGGTAAAATTAAGGCAACGCTAGACAATTAAAGGAGGATTTTGACATCAGAAAAGCCCAAAACCAAAAGGTATCTGAAAAGCCATAGGGCCTACCAAAATATTAGTAGTGCTAAAGTATGTGTAAAATGTGGAAATAAGGCTACTTTAGCGAGAAGCTATCTGTATTTTTCATCAAATTATGTATCGAATGTTTAATATAAAGATAATATGGTATGGATAATTGCACAAGAACTATCTCAGATTACTAAAAAACTCATACATGCAAATAGATACATGAAGAAAATTATTAGTCCATCAATTAAAGAGCATGGAAGAAAACAGTCTCGGAATGAAGCCAAAGACAATTCCAAATTGATGAGTCTAACCACTAGTACTAAAATTATAGCGTAACTCCCAAAATTGAGCAGGGAGGGACCATACACATATTAAATATTCTCAAGTTTTCAAGTAACCCTTGCCAGTAAATGTTAGTTATTATAGCCATTTATGAAAACTGAACAGATCATTTGAACCAAGTAGGTGCATTTAGTCACTCATATAA